CATAAATCTATGACTTACACAGTCAAGACCATAAGTGATAAGTCATAAATCACAAGTCATAAATCTATGACTTACACAGTCAAGAGCATTTGTGCTTGCTTTGCAAAGCTATTGCATTTTATCCTCATGAAGGATGAACAGGCATAAATGGGCTACAATATAAACTTCCTGAAAATACTCTGTTTTCCCAATGCATAAGCTTTAACCCTGCCACAAAAAATACATATTACTCACAGACTAAATGCCCAAAGTTTTTAAATCTTGAGTGGCTGAGCACTAACCTAACACCATATCACTATAAAAAAAAAACCTCGCTGCTCTTCAGGCTCAGGCTCTGTTGCTACGGCAGCTCAGCAGAAAAAAAGAGCATCAGGCCCTCATGCATCTGAGTGCAATTTAAATACAGCACAGGTAAGGGACACTTTCTATACTGCACAGTCTTAAATGCAGTTAATTATTGTAACTCAACTGCTACTTTCTACAACAGTAAAGTCCAGGTCTATTTACAGAACAATTAACCTCGCCCTGGCAATGCTGGGAGTATTTCTGACACTTTTATTCCTCTCCTGTTCTACATAAAGTCATCTCAACTGCTGGGAAGCTGGGCTTGGGTGAATACTACAAAAAATATGAAAAATTAGAGGAAAAAACTACTTTCATCAGCCACAGGGGAAATCTCCATAATCTGGACATGGAGACTTGCTGCTCTGGTCCATTTGGTCTAGAGGAAGAGAGCGAGTAAAAATAAGTTATATATAAAAAAAAGAATGAGTTATATAAAGAGGGAGAAGCACTGAGTGTGCCTGCATTGCCATGGTGACTGCAGGAAGCCTCATATCCAGACAGAACCATGGATGCTTTGGAGGCAAGATGCAGGGAAAGGGAGGAAACACCAATATTGTTTTCTATTAGCAGGGCAACTGGAAATTGCTTCTCCAGTGAACACACAAAATATAGTCAGTGCAAACCTCCAGGACAGGTTGATTACTGAGAAGTAACAACAAAACTCCAGGTGAGGAAATAATCTAGCAAAAAGTCTCCCAATATATAGAAATTGCATTAGGAATCATGCATGTCCACTCGCTAAGTCTTTCTTGTTCTTTTACTTTGCCCCCAGCCTCTGGGGTTGACAAGGTGAGGACACATCTTGGTTAGTGGTGAAGCTGTTATTTCTGTTTACGGTTTTCAGTTCTTCAGTATTCGGAAAAATGTAAAGCCTAGAATTCTCTTCTACAAATTTAGATTTGTAGAAATCCCAGATTTTTATTGTGTGGGCAAAAATAATTGTGGGTGCAAATAATACCACTTCCACATTTAAGCGCTTTGTTTTCAGAAATAATAGAGCAGACACGTCTAAACTGCTTGCATATTCACCTTTCACCTGTGGGCGTTCCACATGCTGTTTTCTGCAGATAGTAAAAGCTAAAGAAATCTGCCAAAGACAAAGAGGACTCATGCAATAGACTAAGAAGGTCTTATAAAGACTAAAAATACACTTCATGAAAATTTTTACGAACGATAATAGGTGCAGAATACAGTGAAAAAACACCCTGAATGACACAACAGTGAAACTACTCTGGACATGGCCAGCTTCAATGGTAGGTACTTCTGAATCTACCATATGAAAATAATTATCAGTCATCAGGAAATTCATACTCACATCCCCCAATTTTCTTCCTTAGTTCCCCATAGCAGATTAAGCCATAAAGCTCCAGGGAGGATTTTTTCAGCCCTTGCGAAAACACTGAAAAGCAGAAGCAGGGTTAGTGAGATGACCTGATTCACGTTGCAGGTGCTTGTCTGGGCACTGCGAACAAAAGCTACTCCTACATCGGAGGTAGCACTAAGTTTAATTTCAAGGAAAACTACACTGAGAGGAGTTCACCAATTTCCTGTTGGTGACAAATTTCTGGGAAAGGCAACAGATTTTTTGGACAACGAAATCAAGAACAAAAGGCTTTTAAAGAATTTAAACTAATAGCTCCATATGCAAAATAAAGTTAATCAATTCTAGTACCCTTTAACTGTCTATAATTTCTAAAGCAATCATACTGATGTCCCAAGAAAATACATATAACATTTTTACATGAAAATTCACAATTAGGTCCAAATTTTTCGCAAGACATAAATGCACAATGATTTGATACAAATTCCAGTTTCTATTTTTTTATATAAGATTACACACATTTTATTCAGCTTTAGCTTTTCTCCTTTTGTATCAACATATGTCAATGTGGACCTCATTATTTCTGATATATTTAGAGATCTATAGCAGCACTTAAAAATCTTGTGGTTTATAACTCTGACAAAAAATTACTCTCTTAACTAAGAATTCAGTGTTTTTTGACTTGCAAACACCATTAATCTCAATTTCAGGCACACGTACTTATACTAACACTAACACTAGTCGAAGTACTGTACTAATTCTTAAATTCCTCCACCAAATCAGATTTTAGACACAGAGACTGAGAAACAGAATTCTACCTTATTCAGACAGCAGGTGAAGTATGCTCACAACTTTTCTTAACATGTCCTACAAAAACTAATTTCCTCCAATACTGTTTACCATGAGATTTATTTTCAAGTAAAATATTAATGGCTTGTTTCATCTGAAAATGTCATTGTGCTTTGGAAAAAAAATACGTCTTAAGCTGTACGGTGCTTTTTAAGCACTTAAGTGCTCCTTCAGATAATCTTAAACTTAAAAGTATTTTGGACATATAAGTCATCCTCTGACCTAAATGTCTCAGATAACCTAATCTGACGAATTGTATTCTCCATTTTCTTTGTGCTTCTTTGGCTTTTCCTAGGGGTATGTGATAATACACCTTGCAGGCCATTAGCGCTCCAAGTCAAAGCCATTTCTCATGCATGAGGTATTTTTAACAAGACAGGTATAGGCAGGATTTGACAGGATGAATTTACTGTCCAGAATTTTGCTGAAGATAAAAGAACTGCTTGCATACTAAAGAATTCAACCACCATGCAACTACCATCATAATTTAAAACACTTGGAGCACAGCATCAGAAGGACAGGAAGGCCCTGGACATCTCCCTGATCAACATGCTAACAGGAGCACTGACATTCTTCACAGCATCTTCACAGAGTCCAAAGAGCTAGAATTTAGAGGTTATCTGTTCACTCTGCAAAAGGTTTCTTTTAACCTGCTATTCAGATTAGGCTAGAAATTCAACTGAATCCTCACTTGAAAAAGACCCAGAATACGTTGTGTTTGATAAAATTCAAGAATCAAAAATCAGGCATTGCCCTTATTGTTACAAAACACTACTAAGAGTTCATACAGCTGCCCAGGTTCCTTGTCACTGAAGAAGCTGGGGATGAACAGAGAGGAACGGGAAGAGGAAAATTCAGTAGTTTGGGATTCCTGGGTTAGTGAATCAATGACACAATTTCAGGTTTATTTAAAGAGTAAATAAGTTATTTCAGCTGTTTATACTTGGGTCACATTTTCCCCAAGGTGGTGAAATGCAGGGACAGGGGTCCATTTGCTTGATGATGCCAAGAGTGACTGTAACATTTGGTAGCTAAAAAATGCTTCTTTAAACCTGGCTTTTCCATAAGATTAACAGTTGGATGAACATGTATTATGGTGCAGTGAAGCACCACAGAAGCAATGATGCTACTACCAACATCCTGGGGGGGGAAGTTATTTTCAAAAAAAAAAAAAAAAAGATGAATCTCTTCACGGTCATGCTAAGAAAAACACAAAGCACTCACATCTATCTTAGTACTATTCAACATTTTCTCCTCTTCCTTGTCTCCCCGCTACCCTTCAGAATGGCACCAAAAGGCCCAGGCCCTCCAAGAGGGAGCTCTGCGCCGAGCGCACGTCCTCTCACACTGACCGTTATCAAAGTCGATGTACTTGGAGATCTTGTGCCACGTGCGGTAGTAGAAGTGTCGCACTTGCTCTTTGTTCTTCACCATGCTGGCCGGCTTGCCTTTCTTCTTGTACTTCAGCGCAATGTTGTTCTGGATTGCCTCAAAGTCCTTCCCGTGCTGAAGAAAAAAGAAAACAAGGTGAAATACTCAAAACCAAGTCTCTCTCTTGGCACAAGACAACTCCATAAACATGAGGGATTTGGGGGTTCTTTGTGGGAAATCACATTTGAATGGTCATAACCAAAATTCGTGGGTATTAGAACAGGGCAAGGGTGACATTGGTTTCTGTTAGGTAAAAAGTACTGCAGATAGAGGTCCCTTCCAACCTTAAGCATTCTATGATTCTATGTCAAAGAAGCTACTTTCTAATTTCTTGAAAATAACTTTTTCAAAGTAAATAATCTTTTAAAAATTATGTTAATTAGAACTGCTCTGGGTAGCAGAATTGAAAATAATGACTTGGTCATTTTGCTTTCTTTAATTTCACCTGCATCCCTTCCCCTCTTCCTCTTATCTCCATTTCTGTCTAAGGAAGATGAAAAAAAAATGTCTTATTTATTTATTTTTACAGTAAATTTCACGTCCAGGTTATTAGCAATACAAAATCTGAGTTTCAAATAATGAGGGGAACCTTTTTATTTAAAAATGCAATAAAAATATTTTCAGAGAGAAAATGTATTTTGATACACATACTGTACACATACTGTAGAAGCTTATTCTCTACACAGAAATAGACACCTAGGTGTCCTTTTAAACTCCCTAAAATAAATAATGCTTGGAGACTAAAAAAGGAAAAGGTAAATTTTGCATACATTAACAATGATCTCCTGCTATCACAGAATTTCTGAAGAACTCAGAAAAAAGCTGGAGTTGATTTACATATGATTAAAAAGTGTGAAAATCTCTACTGAAAGGTAATGGTAAAGACAAAAAATAAATGACTGGAAGTGGGTGACCAACCAAAGTGAAGCCCAAACCCATCCTACAGTGGATTTGGAACTCATTCCAGAGCAGTCAAAAATAAATGTTTCCTTTGAACAATGGAGGGAATTAAACTTTACATAATTCTCAGGAATAGTAAAAGGAATTAAAAAAAAAGAAAAAAGGGGAAAAGACTAAGTGTTCACACTAACCCCAAATATACACATGAAGCATACTTATACGAAGAGAAAAAAACTCCACATCTAAAGAACCCCCCACGCCACTAAAGGACTTAGCATTACTTGTGTTCTAATTTTTATTATGTATTTCTAAAACCGAAATCCTCTTAAAATAATCATTAAGCACCAGACTTTCTGGAAAAGACTGTACATTTCATATGAAATAACGGGTAAGATGATTTAAGTTTTTCCACATCTTCCATCCAAGTACTGACCTGGTTCAAATCTGTTTATGTTCAAAGACTAAACCCAGTGCCTGAAACTCTTATTATTATTGAACCTATTTTTTTATTTGATAATACTACAGCATGACTTTACTCGTTTTGGAAGTTGAGATGAAGCACTATTTTCTACTCATTTGAAATAATTTACACTATTTTCTCAAATTATGCTTCTACTATAAACATCTTTAAATAAAACTATAGCATTAATATTACAGAACTGATTTTCACTTTACATGGTAATACATTAAACCTTGAATGATGACAATCGTCAAGATATTTTCACAGGAGATACTTTTTGTGTTTTTAAGGTTCCTTGAAGAGCTCATTAGTAGAGAAAGACATTCCTGTGCATTTCATTTCTCTGTTTATTATGATACATATTCTAAAAGCTAAAATAATCGGAGGCTTCTGACATGGCATTCAGCTCCATCTACCCTCATCCATATTTCCTGCATATTCAGGAAAAAGAAGCTGAGAAATTTTTAAAAGTGGCTTTGATTCACAGATGTTCTATAGACAATCGTACAGACACACATATTTTCATATATATACATATATTCATATATATTTCATATATATATATAATATTTATATATATTCATATATGTTTTTCATATATATATGAAAATATGTGTCTGTATATTGTGTGTGTATATATGCACACATACACTATATATATGCACATATACATATAAAAAATTGCATTTAATATATGCATAAGGGAGTGTTCCTGCAAATCCCAATTAAATCAACCTTCTTAGCAACATCCAGATACCTAAAGGAAGCCTAAGCTGCCTTTTTTCTTTACACATACCTCATACAGCCCCTCAAAGAATGTATTTTTGTCCTCGGTGCTCCACGATTCCCACTGCCTTCTGACCTTCTTCCCTTCCTCCTTCTCTCCAGCCGAGGAGCCCAGGTTTCTTGCTGCTGACTTGGAATTTGCTGCAGGAGTGCTGGGAGGAATTCCTGGGGTGCTACCAGATGTAGTCCCTCCATTATCTGCTGCTGCAAAAAAAAACACAAGACTGAAGCGAATACTAAACCAACAGGAGGATTCACAGATAAAGATAGGGAGGGATTCAGGATTTTCCCCTTTGCCAGCTTCATTTCTATCACATTGTTTCAAGGTATGTCACCTGAAATAGTCAAGTGACAAGTTTTTTTTAAAAAAGACACATCTCAAGCAGCAAGAAAAAAAAAAGTTAATGAAGAGATCTGAGAGAACTCACAAACAATGATCTCCGTTCTTCTACGAAAAAGTAACTATGCTCAGTGATTTATACTTCCAAAATACATTTTTAAAATTTTTAATAATGTATTATGTAAGATTTGATTGCTCTTATTAAGGCAGCAGTGTATTTCATAAAAAGAGGGTTTTTAATATTAAACATTTTTAATTATAAGACATCCTTACTACCCTTACCTTTTATCCAATTACTGGCCTTCTCACACTCTTTTTCAAGTCTTATTCTTTATTTTATGACAAACTGTTTTGCCTTAGCTTACCTGCTTACAAATCTATCTTGTGAAATACAGCAATATCAACCAGCTTTCCAGGTTTACGTGCATCAACCCAGTTATTTGTTTTACGCTTAAGTTAAGAATGGTCAGTTACCTTCTAAGATTCAATTATTTGAAGTAGTTTGCTTACCTAACAAAGTCTGTGTTAAAAAAATATATGCACACACACGCATATATATATCGCAATCAAGACTTGGAATATCCAAACCGATCCTAATATGACGAGAGTAACAGAACAATCCAGTGCTAATGGCTTACTATGCCTCAGAGATTCAAGATTTGTATGCAAATCTTAACTACTCCGTTGCATTTTGAAAGTGGTTCCTTGGGATAACAAAAAATAATAAAAAAAACCCCACTCTGTTCTGAATCCTGAAAAATGTTTGTTCAAGTAGCTAGTAGCTAACATTTGAAACGAAATCCAGAGCAGAGTTTGTAAGACACCCAAACTTACTTTCTTTTTTTTCAGTGTGCAATGAATATTTACTTGGCATGAAATATGACATAGCATCAGTTTTAAGGTTAATGTTTCTTTTATTTCTAGGAATTGCTCTTTGATTCTTTCAAAGAAAAATGTAGTCACCACAGGGAAGCACATACGGGGAAAAAAAAAAAAAAGGATGAAAGAGTCTTCTAGGTAACTAGAAGTAAAGAAAATTCAACTAAGAACAACTTCGCAAATAAACAGCTTATCCGTTTCCCGAGCCTTCACCAGCCATCTCCAGTGTGTCTGAAAGTTAAGCAATTTTAACACAGAAGCTGTGAAGGTAAGGCCCCAAAAGAACTAAATCATTATAAAAGGTTAAGGAAGGTGAATTGCTGTCTGAGAAGAAAAACAGAATATTTAAGACCTGGAATCACAGATTTATTCTACAAGTGAGCATGTGTGATCAGAATATTGGAACTTGCATACAAGAATAATAACAACAACCACCCTGGGAATACAGGGTTAATGTTTGTTGCTAAACATCAAGAAAGAGGAATTCAAACATACCAGCCTTCAGTCTCAGTCTACCATCCCTCTCACTGTTACTTGTTGCCAAAGTGAAATCCTTTGCTTGCGCCAAGATGCTCTAGGACCTGCATACACCAAAGAATTACTCTTCTGATCGCAGACCTCTAACTTTCTGCGAAATCATTTAGAAAAACTATTGATTAAAAAAACACAATATCTGTGTATGCGCATTTGTTCAAAGAAGTACAGACCTGTAGTCAGCTTCCACGTACAGGTTTATTACAGATTTCCTAGAGATTCTACAGCATACATGGTACTTCTAAGGTTTTCCTAGTTAGAAAGCGTAAGAAGCAAATATGTCATGAAGCCTCTAACATCTTAAAAGAGAAAGTGCATTCAGTAATTTCTTCTGAGTTGCATGTAAAAGGCAAAGGGAACGGAATGGTTCTATCAAGTCTCCTCAGGACACCGTAGGGGCTCCATGGTTTCAATTTTTACAAAAGACATATTTTGAAATCACTCTCCTTCTCCTTTGGATATTCTTTTCTATTATGTTAAATATTCTTTAGATAATCTGTTCTATTCTGAACTCTCCAAATGACACACTGTAGTCCTTATGAGTCCATCACAGCCTCTCCTGTTTTAAACAGAAATAAATTGCTATTCAGACAACTGGTTTGAATCTCAGGTCAAGATTTTGAAAAGCTAATATT